TTTTTTGTTGCAGTTTGGCTTGGGCCAGGTTCGAACTTGCCACCCTCGGTATATTGGGCCAGCGGCCTACCCACTGAGCCACAGGTGCCCCCCTGGATCCTACATATTCCCTGTTTAAAACAAAATGCCAAACCTCAAATCCAATCTTTTTTTTTTTTTTTTTTTTTTTACAGTTTTTGGCTAGGGCTGGTTTGAACCTCCCACCTCCAGTATATGGGGCCAGCGCCCTACTTTTTTGAGCCACAGGTGCTGCCCTAGATAGTATTCTTTTATAAAGGAAAGCCCTCCTTTTTTTCCTCCAATTTATCTTATAAGAAAATTTATCATTGTGAACTCAAGTTTTTATTTTTCAAATTTATGTGTTTTAACCAATTACTGCAATTACTCCTTTGGTGTTCCAGTTGACCCATTTGGCCAGGGAAAGCCTCTTTATTTGGCCACCTGTGTGCTTCTGACATGATCCCATCAGTGTCTGAGTGCTCCCTTGCTTCTTTATACAACAAGCTGTTCTTGCTCACCTCGTACTTTCCCAGGCCAAACCTATGATCAGGAACTGGAGCTCCTTATTGTGGGAAATGGTATTTAGAGACCATGATTTTGGTGGCAGTTGTGCTCATTGCATTTGGGAACAAAAGAATTTTGTTTTGTAATGTGGAGATGGTCAGAGCAGAGGGTTGGGAACAGAGGTTAAGAGGAAGGTTAGACATTTCAACATAGTCTAATGATCTTTCCTTAAATGTTCCAGGACGGAATGTACTGCATGCGGATGTTCACGTATCTTCTGGCTTTATTTACTGGTGTGATTTTAGCAGCTCCGTGAGATCTTATAATGCAATCCGTAGAATTAAACCAGATGGGTCATCTTTGACAAACATCGTTACAGAAGGGATAGGAGAAACTGGAATACGGGGCATTGCAGTGGATTGGGTAGCAGGTATGTAAGTTGGCTAGTGATTTTGTTGTGTTTGCTGTTTAGTGATTCTATTGTCTTATTTCATGCTAAGCTTAACCTAACTGCATGTGCCACAGACTTGTTTTCCTAGACAGTTATTGAGATCATTTAATTTTAATTGCACATTTAGATTGAGCTATGTGTCTATTGAATACATGATACAGTGTTTCATTTGACAGATTTGTTACTGATTATCTCATTTTCTTCTATTATTAACATAATAAAACTTTGTTGTCATTTGTTTTGCACATAGATTTGCATACTTTCTGTTTTAGTAGTTATGTTGAAATGCCTGACCCAATGCTATATTTACTTAGTTATAATGATCCATGTACACAAAATTGAATTACCACTTGTTTTTAATAATCCATTGGGTGGGCAGCACCTGTGGCTCAAAGAGCAGGGTGCTGGCCCCATATACCGGGGGTGGCAGGTTCAAGCCCAGCCCCGGACAAAACTGCAAAAGAAAACATTGGGAGATCTAATTTTTAGAATATTATCCAATTCTATACAAAATATGTATCATCATATATTATCAAGCTTAGAATGTGGTTATCACTTAGAAATATTAATATGTATTATGAAATCTAGGTACTATAATAAAAGTTTATTGCAAAATGTAAATATGATAGTATGGTTAAATAAGGCTTTCATTGGATTTCCAAATCCCATTCCTGATTGCACATTTACTATTGCTGAGTATATAATCAAGTAGAAGTCACTCGACTATGGCCTGTAGGTCAAAGGCAGCCCAGTGCCTATTTTCGTAAATAAAATTTTATTGGATCACAGCTATGCCCTTCTGTTTCTGTATGGTCTATAGCTGCTTTCCTGTTACAATGGCAGAGTCGAGTACTTGTGAAAGAAACCATATGCTCTGCAAAGCCTAAAATATTTACTGTCTGGCCCTTTCCAGAAAATGTTTGCCAATCCTAAATTAAAGTGTTGGAAATGAATAAAGATGTCTATAGATATATATGTATACACACACATATGTATATATATATACTTATATACACATATATACATAGCATGTTCTCTCTCTCTGTGTATGCAGCAAGTAGAGTTATATTATGAAAAACAAATATTAGTAACATGTATAGGCCGGATTTCAATAGAGGTATTTTGAGTCAGTTATAGGAATAAAATACTTAGGCCTTGGTAGCAGTTTTGATAGTTAGCAGACATTCAACTACATGGAATCAGTAATTTTACAACATTGTCTATTCATTATATCATTTTCACACCATTATCCTTCTATTTTAGCATTTATATTGAGCTATAATGCCCACAAGGAAATGGACATCTCTTTTGGTGACTTTGGGAAGGTTCATGGGATGAAAACATCTACATTAGTTAGAGTAGAGAAGAATCTCGTGTTAACCTTAAGCACTAAGAGCATTTGCTAACGTCAGTACAACCTGAGACTGTGCTAGCTGTTCCTCTTGCTACTTTTGTCATGTTTAAGTAGAAGTTATGCTATGATAAGGTGTCTTTGGAGTCTTTGGGCGTTCTGAAAAATATACCTTTCAGTGGAATGTAGGCTATGAGGTTTGCTATGAATTCTATGTTACTTTAAAAGTTGAGGACGGGCACATTCTCTCTATCTTTGAAACAGCAATCTCTTTAGTTCCTAAGACTCAGTCTTTTTCTTCTAAGCCTCAACTGAGGCATTTATTTGTCATCTTGGAAAAGACAACATATAGAGACCCAAACCTCAACCTTACATATTTTGTTTTGAGTTCTAAGAGGCATCCCTTTTTCCTTTTTGGTTTTCCATTTATCTGCATACTCTTTTATTTTCTTTCAGGAAATCTTTATTTCACCAATGCCTTTGCCTATGAAACACTCATAGAAGTTCTTCGGATCAATACTACCTACCGCCGTGTCCTCCTTAAAGCCACAGTAGATTTGCCTAGGCATATTATTGTAGACCCCAAGAACAGATACCTCTTCTGGGCTGACTATGGACAGAATCCAAAGATTGAACGTTCTTTTCTTGACTGTACCAATAGAACTGTGCTTGTGTCAGATGGCATTGTCTCACCACGGGGCTTGGCAATAGACCATAGCAGTGGCTACATTTATTGGGTTGATGATTCTTTAGATTTAATTGCAAGGATTCATTTTGATGGAGAGGAAACTCAAGTGATTCGTTATGGCAGTCGTTACCCAACTCCTTATGGCATCACTGTTTTTGGAAATAGTATCATATGGGTGGATAGGAATTTGAAAAAAGTCTTGCAAGCTAGCAAGGAACCAGGGCGCACAGACCCACCGATAGTGATAAGGGACAATATGTACTGGCTGAGAGATGTGACCGTCTTTGATGAACAAGTCCAGCCTCGGTCACCAGCAGAGGTCAACAACAACCCTTGTTTGGAAAATAATGGTGGGTGCTCCCATTTCTGCTTTGCTCTACCTGGACTGCACACCCCACAGTGTGGCTGTGCTTTTGGGAATCTGGAAAGTGATGGCAAGAGCTGCACCATTTCTACAGAAAATTTCCTTGCTTTTGCCTTGGCTAATTCCTTGAGAAGTTTGCACTTGGATCCTGAAAACCATAGCCCACCTTTCCAGCCAATCAATATGGAAAAGCCTCCTATAGCTCTTGCCTATGACAGCATAAACAACAGAATCTACTTCACACAGAGTGTAAACTTTTTCGATGGCCAGATTTCCTATGTCAGCTTGTCTTCAGGGATTCATACCCCGACTGTCATCACTTCAGGTAAGCACACTCCAGGTGCCACTTGTCTTAGAAGTAGACACCATGGGGTCAACACACATGGGTGACAGTATATTGTGACCCTAACACCCTTGTGTGTGTTTGTGTGTTTGTTTGCTGGTGTTGTGTCCAGATATAGGGACTTCTGATGGCATTGCCTATGATTGGATCAACAGAAGAATTTATTACAGTGACTACTTCAACGAGACAATTAATTCCATATCTGAAGATGGGACTCAACGGACTGTGATAGCCCGTGTTGCAAAACCAAGAGCAATTGTGATAGATCCTTGCCGAGGGTATGCCATCATTTTTAAAATTGTATTTCTGTCTGCTTATTTCCAGAAAGAATTAAGGCCTGAAATTATTTTGTGTAAATAGAGAGATAGTGTTTTATGGGTGTTTAAAACTCTGGCTGTAGATTTAAGGGTAAAAGAGTATTGAGTGACTTTACCTGGGAAGAAGGGTGCAGGACATAACTCCCTTTGATGGCAAAAATGCTGGCAACGTACTAGGGAGTCAGTGCTCTGACTCAGTAAATCCCTTTTGTGCAAGTTGTGTGGGTGGGAAAGGAGCACGGGTTCTTTTATAAAATCAATGGTAATTTGCAATTAAAGCATGCTGCCTTTTTTTTTTTTTTGGAAGAAGGTCTGGGAAGATCCTTATGGTAAATTAATTATGATTCCTTTTGTATGGCTAGGTACTTGTACTGGGCTGACTGGAATGGTAATGCCAAAATCGAGAGAGCCACGTTGGGAGGAAACTTCCGGGTACCGATCGTGACCAGCAATTTGGTCTGGCCCAAAGGGCTAACACTGGACTATGAGGAGGACCTTCTCTACTGGGCGGATGCTAGTCTGTATGTATCTTGGGTTTCTCATGTGAATGTTGATACGCAGAGTTGTCCTCCCATTTCCAAAGAAGAGGGATTTGCATAATGTAATGAAAATATAATATGCCAGATAGATGTCACTGAAATGTAGACTCATAGTTTTAGGAATTACATTATGTTCTAACTTGGTGAATATACTAGTGAAAATTTATCTATATTGTGAATTGAATAATTATGATCTAAAAGATATTTAAAGATGCCTTAGAAAGTACATTTAGAATTAGGTGTATTTGCTCAGTTTATAATTATAAATGTGATTACCCAAGTTATAGTCTACAGGATTTAGGTAACTACCATAAAATGTTTACTCAGACCATAAATGAGTTTTTACTCATTTTTATTTATTTATATATTTAAGAGAGAGGGTGTCACTTTATTGTCCAGGGTGGAGTGCAGTGCTGCTCACTGCAGCTTTAATTCCTGGGCTCAAGCGATTCTTTGGCCTCAGCCTCCCATATAGCTGGGCCTATAGGCATGTGCCACCATGCTCAGCTAATTATTTTTATTTACCTACCTATCTATTTATTTATTTATTTTTTGCAGTTTTTGGCTGGGACTGGGTTTGAACCCGCCACCTCTGGCATATGGGGCCGGCACCCTACTCCTTTGAGCCACAGGCGCCGCCCTAATTATTTTTATTTTTTACAGAAATGGTGTCTCACTATGTTTGCCAGGCTATTTCAAGTGAGCCTCCTGCCTTGGCTTCCTGAAGTACTGGAATTTCAGGCGTCAGCTATGGCACCCAGTCTGATACTAAAATTTTTATGAGCTTTAGCATTCAATGTCTTTCAAACATGTTTTTCTGCCGTCTTTGACTTTTGGTTATCTTTGCAAATGGACTCTTTTGTGGCAAGTTTCTTCTCAGAAAATTTGATATTTTCCTTTTGTCAACTCTAATTTTGTATGTAATTTTTCAAAGTAATACCAGAGTGTGTCACATTCCTGATGGAATGGTTGAAGGGATGAAATGATTTTTTTTTATTATGGTTGGTGTGTACATGTCAGTAATCTTTTGTTGCTTATTTCCTCATAATTTTAGTCTTGTGATGGTGCGCACTTAACTTACTGATCTTTTCTTTATTCTCTAATTTGAAACAAAGCTGTGGTGCTTTGTGTCTAAATTTGGATCATTCTAGGTAAGCACCTCTAGTTACACAAATAATGTCAAATTGAAAAAGTCACTAAGGGAGTGGAAAGTAAAGGGAATTAGCGTTTTATTGAGAGTTGACTGTGTGTACCCTGGAACCATTCATCACATGGATCTCTTCCCCATGCTTTCCTGTTTCTAAAGCCAACCTGATTCCCCTTGTAGGTTTACTGTTAATATTTGGAATTCGATGATTTATATAGGCCATTGTTTGATAAGGAACGAAGACCTCTCATCACTAGAAGAAAATTTCTAGCTGGTATATGCCTCACTTGAAAGTTGGGGACTTGTATAAACTAATGGTTAGGCCCACGCATTGTGATGCCCGCTGAGAAATGTATTCGTTCTAGATTTTAGCATTTTTTCTTTTTTTACTGTATTTTAGGCGACAGATTGAACGCAGCACTCTAACAGGCACGCAGCGTGAAGTCCTTGTCAGCGCAGCTTTTCACATTTCCAGCTTGGCTGTCTTTGGCCAGTATATTTACTGGACTGATATGTCAACAAGAAAAATTTACCGAGCTAACAAATACGATGGGTC